TATATATATATATATATATATAAATATATGACTTTAACAAAAATTATTTATTTGCTAATGGAAAGAACAGGAGGGAGAGAGAGAGAGAGAAGAAGAAAAGAATATGAAATATTATTTTAAAAAGAACTATAAAGAAGTGATAGTCTAGCTTTTAGCAGCTAATATTGTTTCAGTGTTTAAATAATTGATTCATAATTAGCTTCTCTTACTTTGTTAAAAAAACTTTTCATATTTTGTTTCTTGTGTCTAATAATACATTAAGATTTTATATTGCTAGAAAAATTCTACAGTTTTCTATCTTCATCTTTATATATTTCATCTTTTATAATAATCATAGGGGAAATAAATAAATTTTTTTCTTATTTTCTGAATCTGATGAACCAACCTTAAGGGATGAGAGATGCTTAATATCAGAAGGTAATGCGTTAAACTCGTTTCCATGAATGTCTAAGACAGTCAACAATGATAAGTCACATAAGGCACCTCCACCCGAGAGTGAGCTCAGTTTATTATCATACATTAACAAGATCTTTTTTCGGAACACTTTGCAAAGTGAATAGATGCCTGATGGCACATTCTTCAAGGCACATTCCGATACATCGAACACTGGCTCCGGGTTTTCCCTGGCCTATTGTACAAAATAAATAATTGCAAATGCACAGAATATATTAAATTGCTAATTTATTTATTTTTTATTGCTATTTATTAATTGCTATTTATCTATTGTATTTAATTATATGTTTAACATTATTAATTTATACGAAGACAACTATAAAGTAACTGGCATTATTTGATATAATTAATCATTACGAATAATTAATTTAAATAATTTTGAAAATATAAACAATATAATCAGGACTCTCTTACATAAAATATAACATTAAATTAAATTAAATTGGTACAAAAAAGGCTTCCTGTGTTCTATCAACTGACTCTTATAGTTCTTTTGCTTACTTAATTAAATAATTTTAATTAGTTATAAGTAATTAATTAGTAATTATTCATTAATCAACAGTAAAATCTCTTCGTCATTCTAATCCCAATCTACACAAATCTAATTTATAGATTTGTCTATTTTATTTTATCGTCTGCATATACATAATTTATTTGTTTAGTTGTTAATAAAGATATGGTAAAAGATCCAGATACTGACTAGTTAATTAATTATTAATTTGACTTGAGTCACGAATCATAACCTTAATTCGTGGAATACGCACCAGATACAGTTTGTACTCGAGCCGCGCCTTATAATCGACTTTAGTCGTGCTCCCGTGCTTTCTCGACATCCTTGCTCAGCATCCGTTGTCATGACAAGGAAATAAATAACGATTTCATCTCCCACATCTCCATGTGATAAACAGCGATATAGCACCGAACCTCCCTCGATGAGGTTCGAGCTGACAATCAGCTAGAAATGTTGGAATCAGCTGTCCGTTCTTTTAAAGTGCACCGTTTGCACCTGTGTCATTGTTCTTTCCCCTTTTCCTTCACCTCTGCAGTTGTATACGTGAAGCTATAGGGTGTTCCTAAAGTAAGTGAATTTCAACGGGAATATACTTGGCTATACTGATTATTTTGAAAGTCTATCTGAAAAATGTTATTCTATAAATGAAGTGTACTTTTTCCGAAATATTATGTCATTCAGAATGGGTCACGTGTGAAAATTATAAATTTGTTCTTTACAGTTAAATTTCTTTCATCTTTTTTTTCTCCAATCTACTTCTTTTATCTTTTAATGTAAAATATCTAATAATTATATTATTTTATTTTAATAATTAATTAGACTAGTTTGTTATAAATATAAAAACACATAGAAAATTATACTTTTTCCACTTGAGATAAAATATATATATTAGGATACATAATTAGACTTTAAAGAGAGATAAAGAAGGACATAAAAGAATAAATATAAAAGACACTATTCGTAATCCAATCAAGACGCTTAAGACTGTCTTAATGAAGATCACTTATTCCACGAAGATTATTTTTATTTTAAGATTATTTTTATCTCTAGATGTCTATTCATAATTCGTGAATAAAATGATCTTTATTAATCCTTATATATAAAAAAGCAAAGGCTTAAGGTTGCTTCATTTATAGAGTTTTCAAGAAAAAAAAAGAAGATTATCTTCACAAGACTTTAGCCTGTTCTACAATGTGTTTTTTGTTTCCTGTTTCTTATTTTTTGCTATTTTTTTACATCTGGTCTTTTTGTCTCTTATCTGGTATTTTGTTTTATATCGTCCGAGATAAAAATTAACGAACTTCGAAAAAAACAAGAAATATAATTGTCAATAAAACGGTGCAAAAGAGAAAAAAGCAAAAGATAAAAAAACAAGAAATAGAAAACAAAGAGCACATTGTAAAATAGACTTTTAGATCAATCCTTTCTTCTTCTTGCTGCTCGATTAATTGCCGATCGATCGCATCCCAATTTTCGCGCTAACTTCACGGTTCTGATTTCACGGAAATCACGTGCGCTTCTCGCGTTTTCAATGATTCGCGCTTCCCCTCCGCTGCTATTTAATTTTTAAATTCGCAATAACGTATCGCGATTCGAAGGACAGCAATTTTACGGGCAGACTTCGCGATTGTCTTAGAAGAGATAACAAGAAGACACGAGGGAAGAAAAACGAAAGGAGAAGAAAACTTAAATTCGCTTTGGCTAGTAAGCATCGGTCATTGATAACATGAGTGTTGCATAAGCGACTACTAATTTAAGTAGGTGGTGTGTTTATTTGATTATGATCATGATGTTTATTTTTCTGCTGGATTGCTAACTGAATTAGATTCTTGCCATCGTATTACTTGAGATGCTGATACTGTCAGCACCGCATCCAATACGATGGCAAGATTCTAATCCAATTAGGATAATTGTCTATTACTATGCCTGTCCCTATTAGTGTTCTTTTGTATTTCAATAAGCCATAAAGAAAGCACAAATAAATAAGAAAAAATATTTTATTTTTTAACTATTAAAGTATTTTAAATATTTTTTGAAAGATATGAAAAATGTGAATCCAGTAATACGTATCGCAAGTTTCCTTATTAGTATGTCCTGTATTGGAGCTGAGAATTGTGTTATGAATGTACATTGAATTAATAAGTATAATTGAAATAATTATTTATGTAATATTAATTTAACCCATTAGCTTCAATTTATTTACCTGTTTTAGTAACTATATGTTAAAATGAGTCAAATGCGAATAGGCACACAAATTGGGGACATATTAATAGGGCCATCGCTGCTTGGAGAACTCATTTATAGGGACAAAAATATGTTTTTTATTTTTATCAAAAACATTATAACATTATTATGTTAAGTATTAACATTTTTTAGATTAAAGAAATATTATAAAAAAAAGAAATAGTTAAAAAACCGATATTGATTGCAAGCAGAATAAAATCAAAATTATAATATTTAATAATTAATTAATTCGGTAACAGGCAAATTGGCTAAAAGATACATTATAATAGAGACAATTACTCTAGCAATCTAGCAGGAAAACAAGCATTGTGTATCGCCGGCTTTATTTAAATATCCAACTTATTATACTAATTTATTTAGATATTTGAATTTTAAATATATCTAACTTTGGCTACAGCCAATGTTCAAAACTTTCAATATCGACAGGTTCAATGATTTAACTTAATAATTTGCGTTTGAACATACGGACATATAGTATATTTTTTGAATGTATGGATACATGAATATACATTCGCATTTACACATACGAAGAAAAATATTCAACTCTGTAGAAAAGAATAAGAAAAGGATCTGTTCTCTTTAATTGCACTTTTTATCTCTTTTTTTCTTTTCTCTTTTATGGCTTTATACTGCATATCTATATATTATTCTTGGTGCGAAAAGTGTGACGCAGTATAATTAAAAGAACAAATTTTGTGGCTTTATACTATAAAATATTACTGTACTTGAAAATGCGTTAAAATGTTCCGATATCAAATCGGATATTATCAGAAATGATTTAAAAAATAATTCAAAAATAATTCGGAAATATAAAAAGATCGAGAAAAAGGCAGTAGGATTTTATTTACGGCTTAATAGGAACCATTCTAATATCAGGTAATTCGGTTTTGTGCCTGTGACTTTACCGTGTGTGCCTAATTTATTGTTATTATTAATTATTATTATCAACGCGTTATTTATTTCTTGATAATAATATTTAATAATTTACAGCTATCTCGTAATCTTTCTTCTATCTCGTAACCTTATTCTATATATATAAATTACATAAACAAATAAAATATTAACAATTAAAAACTAATAACGTTAACATTAAAAAAATAATAAATCATATATGCGAATTATATAATATATATGATAGAGATATACGTAATTTATTAATTTTAATAAATTGCATATATAAATCACATATATGTACATATGTTTCGTCGCATAAAAACAACGATGATCGGTCCATTAAAAAAGTATCTACAAAATAAAAAAAATCAATAAAAAAAAACAATTCAACATCTCATTGCAAATCCTGTGAACATTCCTTCTGTCGCAGTCGATACTCCGTCGGTGTTAGCATGCCTCTGAAATATACATTTTCCTAGTCACGCATAAATATATACAAATTGCAAGCATTAAATATAAATGAATTCTATTTTCTCTCTCTCTCTCTAAAGCTGATTCTATATAATAGGATCGTAAATAAGCCGTGGGAAAATTGATCAATCACAATGTGATATTGATCAATCGAATGTGATATGTATGATTGGTCAATTTCTTACGGTTTACGACCTTATTGTATATCGACCTAAAAATCGGATCATTCTATTTCATGAAGATGTTTTTTTAAAGTTCTTAAATATACCTTGAGATAAATTGTTTCATGAACAATGCCACATATTTTCTAAGTTCTTTGAAGTGGACTCTCACTCTAAAGAATGCAAATTGAGGTCTTGAAAAAGATTGGCTCAATTTTCAATCTTTAAGAATGAGATTTTATCCTTTAGAATGAAATTCACTCTAAAAGAGAGTATATTATATTTTAGAGAGTATATTATACGCTAATTATTCTAATGTTTTTTTTAAACCTTATTAAATTAGATTTATTGAATTAGATTTTTTTTTATTAATTGGATTTTTCTCGATTTGAACGATGATTATCCGTTACCTTAGAACTGTGTCGAAGGACACGCACACACCCTTATCACACATCCGCCTGTAGAGATACCAGCATTCCTTTTCCTTCGTCGTTTGAAACTGTGGCTCCGAAGGCAGTATCATCTCTGGTGGCGTCTCTTTTGCCGGTATCGTCTCTTTAGGAAATTGTTCGACCTGTATTTACATCGAAAATATATCATATTAAAAACAAAAGCACGCAGAATTATAATAATAATAATGATAATAGCAGTAATAGCAGTAATAGTAATAATATAATATTACTGAAAAATATAACATAAAATTATTCTACGATATATTATATCCACAGACTTCTATAATTAGACTGCTGATTCAATATGATAAAAAGAGATGAAGCTAATTTCGAGTTGTCCTTGTTTAGTTCATATATACGTGTATGTATACGCGTATATATGAACTAAATTCTATCTATAAGTGTCATGTGAATTTATGTGAAAATAACTACGTTATTATCCGTAATGTATAATTTATGCATGTGAGAGTGACTGAACATAAATATGACGCTGCCTAGCGCTGTTCTTTAAACATAGAGGCGAAATCGGCAATCTGCACATAGAAGTCTGTGATTATAACGTATAAAATTTGCTTTAATTTTATTTAGCGTAATTTTTTTTACTTTTGAAAGCGGTGTGTCGATCGACGGAGCTGGAATCGCGACGAGATCGATTCGCGGTATCGCGAGAGATATCCTCTGATCTTTTGTCTCCATCAGCACATTATTCGTCCGCTCTGCTATTCTGCAAACATATTTTCTTGAAAACATATTTTCTTTCTTTTATCTTCCCCTTTTTCATATAACCACATTGTAGGATTATAAAATCGTAAGGTCATTAAATTAACAAGTCTATATATTTCGAACACATTTTTAATCAAGCGTATTTTTGATAGATTGACCTTAACGTGTTGACTATTAATTATATCCATTTGTATAATATTAAAAATATATATATATGATAAAAAATTTTTTATGAACAATTTTACATCTTTACAAATCTTTAAATTTTCAAAAGATCTTCTTTGAACCATCCATATCTAATGATAATAGGAAATAAGATATTAATAGAAAATAGTATCTTCTTATAAGAAATTATATATAAAGTAACATTTATCAATAAATAATTTATTTACATACATTTAAGAATTACGGAAATATTTTGATAATACAAAACGAGAAACGAAGAAATAGAATGAGAGAAAGGGATTTATAAGATACAAAATTGTGAGAGAGTGCATATTTGTTTTATAAATTGCAATTTTTATATCACGTATATTTATCTATATTTATCTATATTTATCTATATTTAATAAATTATAAATTGACTGTCTTTTACGCGGAGAACCGGATCGATAACAAATTTTATCATAGTAATTTAGAACATCAATACATTAAGTACTGAACGCATCACTGTTTCAACATGTTACTCTTTTTTGTGTAATCAATCTTAAGTAAACAAATTTATACAGTAGATACTACATCGTTTAAAAATTTCCGTATAATTAGTTTTATAATTAAAATACCTAACTAGATGGCTCTAAAGAGAGAGAATTAGATACATTTAATATTATAATAATAGAACTATTCAAATCATGCCAGAGTTTATGTACAAAGAGGAGTGATTGTGCATTCGGTTATTTTTAATGTAATGTTCAATTTAATCAGTTTAGGTTTTAATTTCTTTGTTAATATTACTGAAGATGATGACATTAAAGATCGAAATGTTTGAATTATAATTGTTGACTTATATTTACTGTTTTGTACATAAAGTTCGCATATGATATCTAATGTGGTTCGAATAGCCCTAATATTGTATAATATTGAAGCAATTAGTTTTAAGTAATAAATATAATTTTATCTGCATATCTAATCTGTTACGTATGGATCTTTCAACTTTTATCTATTATTAAGTTCACAATCCAATTGTATTATAATAACTTTTTTATTTGTTGAGTGAACTGGTTATTTTTATAAAATTAACTCATAGACTTAGTTACTTGGCCATGTACCTAACCACTGTGATCGATGCGCATTCAATTTGAATTGAATGTATCTTCTATTTGTGTCTTCTACTGAGAGGTCGAGATATTAATTGAAGTAAACTAGTATATTTAATTTGGATAGAAAGACCCAAAGAAGAGCCGAAATGTTTGTTGACTTTATTTTTATTAATTATTAAATGGATTTTATTTGTAACTATGCCTAATTAATTGTGCTTAGTTCTCATTGCGCTTTGTATAATATTATTCATAAGTTGCAAAGTTTAGTATCAGTTTCTGAGTTCAGCCTAGAGATAAGCGATACAAAAAAAAAATATTAATATTTATATCGTATCGTGAGCAGAAATATTAAGTTTGTTCGCACTGTATGCTCTAATATGTTTCAACTCCCTTTTACATAGCTGTTATATTTTATACAACGCGCTCATTGAACATTGGAGAGAATTGTGGTAGAAGCATGTTGGAGCCTACACTTTTAGAAATCTCGTTATGAATTTTAGTAACATACTTAATGCACTTTTCAGTTATCTTATAAACTTCCTTTATGGAAGCTTGTGGTTATAACTGATAAGCAATAAATGGTCTAAACTGAAAACTAAAGTACATAAATGTAATGAACGTATGCATTAAATTTTATGTAAATTCACATAAAATTTTATGAAAAGTGCATTAAATTTTATGTACATGTATGTACACAAATATAATTTTCAATTACAAATACAAATTTGTAATTTAATTAAGGGGGGAAATACCTTTAGGAAGTTAAAAAAACGACAATTTTCAAGTATTTTTTAAATAAAAAATATTTGGCTAATTATTTCCAAATTTTTTATGCTTTGTCTATCTTTTGAGTAAATATATATATATATATATATTTTTTTTTTACCAAATATTAAAAGATACTGAAGCTGCAACGCTGCAAATAACAGAGGTGGCGATGTGAATTGCCAATTGGTGGGACACCAATGTAGCTCCTGTTGTATTGATCCGAAACAGACAGAAAAAAATTTTTTAAGTTAAATAACAATTTTAAGTCAATAACGATGATCGTGGAACCTCGCGACTGAGAAAATCTACACTTTGTAGAATACTGTTGAATTATGACATTAGAATCGACAGAAGACCAATTTTTGTTGATCTCAACGTTAATCAAGGACATATAGCGGTCCTGGTACTATAGATGCTTTGTTGATACAACGATCATATAATGTAATGAAAGATTTCAATCAACAAGATCCGCTGGTCTTTCATTTTGGATATAAAAATTCAGGGGACAATTTAGCACTGTACGTGTCACTTATAATGCGTTTAGCAGAGGTCTATTTGTGTCTTCCACTGAGAGGTAGATATTAATTGAAGTAAATTAGTATATTTAATTTGGATAGAAAGATGACCCAAAGAAGAGCCGAAATGTTTGTTGACTTTATTTTTATTAATTATTAAATGGATTTTATTTGTAACTATGCCTAATTAATTGCGCTTAGTTGTCATTACGCTTTGTATAATATTATTCATAAATTGCAAAGTTTAGTATCAGTTTCTGAGTTCAGCCTAGAGATAAGCGATACAAAAAAAAATATCAATATTTATATCGTATCGTGAACAGAAATATTAAGTTTGTTCGCACTGTATGCTCTAATATGCTTCAACTCGCTTTTACATAGCTGTTATATTTTATACTCCAACGCGCTCATTGAACATTGGAGAGAATTGTGGTAGAAGCATGTTGGAGCCTACACTTTTAGAAATCTCGTTATGAATTTTAGTAACATACTTAATGCACTTTTCAGTTATCTTATAAACTTCCTTTATGGAAGCTTGTGGTTATAACTGATAAGCAATAAATGGTCTAAACTGAAAACTAAAGTACATAAATGTAATGAACGTATGCATTAAATTTCATGTAAATTCACATAAAATCTACTTGGATACATTACAAAACAGATATAAGGTCAAAGTGTCGGGGATCATTATAAATACTCGGTTTGGAATAAATAATTGGGTCAAAAAAAATTTTAAATTATTTATGTACGCCGCATATGTATTCGAGGTGAATGTGGTGGTGTGGTTTTTGTAATGAATTAAAAACTCTACAACAAATTAAAGATATGCCGCATTTTGAAAATAATCTTTCTAATCTTTATAATAAGCCGAAAATTAGAGGAAGTAATCCCATTGAAAATTGAAGATAAGAGAAATCAAAGTATTAGAGAATATTTTTATGATTCTTGGACACCACCAGGTTGTACCAGGTTGTATTCACATAGTTTCAAAGTAAAGTGAAACGAAGCGAAATTATACAAAATCGGAGAAATTATACAAATCGGATCTAATTTATCAGCCTCTCACATGCTATCGAAGGACAACTTGACAAAACTGGAAGCCGGGATCCAATTTGTTGCATCATTTGCTGTCCGTTCGTCGATTTTCCCAAAGATGACGTTGTACAAACTAACGTAGTCAGATTCGTCTGTGTGACTAATGTAGATGTTGTCAGAGAAACGTTTACAGTACTTAGCCTGCAATCTGGGCCATTATCGAATACAGTATTATTATTATCAGACATACAATTTATGAAATTAAATATAGATGATTTTTGACTGTTACTACAGACAGATAATATAAAGTTAATCTACATTGAAAAGCTAGCATAAAATGTAATAAAAAGATAAACAGTGAAATAAAAATAATTTTCTAATAATGGAATTATAATTTTTTAACTGTTACAGACTTGGCTGTTACTAGGGTGCCAAAATTAAATACAGTGGTGATAATATTTTATAAGTATTTTATAAACATTTGTATATTATTTAAATGTATTATATTTAATATTTGACGAATAATTAAGGAATAAAAATTAGTTTCTGAGCATCTTCTCTAAACTATAAACAAGCAATACACGCATATCGCGGATGACATCAAATATGATCGAAGTTTAGCGAAGGTACCAATCGAAGGACGTACCATGATCCGCGGGATGCGAACATTCACGGTCGTACCAGTCCGTTACCAACCAACTCCTTCCTCCTTTTCTACCTCCTTCTCCTCCTCTCCTTTCCTTCCTTTAACATTGTTACAACGCCCCACTTTATTTTTTTGACGTCAATATCATAAATCGTAGGCCAATCGAACTTTTTATCCTTCCTCTTTCCCTCTACGCCTTATATATAGATTAAGATACGAAGATAGCTCGATTACTGCAAGTCAACGGGTTTCATTTAGCAATTTCTTTGCACGGCTGTTTGCTTTTGCTATCCTTTCACGAACTTTCATTATTTCTATAATTTTATATAATGCTTTCATTCCTAAGGGGAATAATTCCTAAAATAATAAAATCTTTGTTATCCAAACCTTAAGTTAAGTAATGACGGACTAGAATAGCGAAATATATCGTGATTTTAGAATTCGAAACATTCAGTAATGCTATCGTTTGTCGTATTGCTATATTATATATTTATCATATCATGACTACATGGAAAGAACAATTTTTCTAAAATATTTAAAAATTTAGTTAGATACAAATCTGAAAATTTTGTTGAATTATCAAAATGATATAGGATGCACAATTTGATTAGAATATCAAAATTTTTTGTAACACTGTTCATCATATGTCAATTTTCTATATAATCATTTATGTGGTCCAACAAATTACTTTCTGAACTGTACTTAAATTTTTTAAGAAATTGATTATAAGCAATTGACCAATCACAGGATTGATAGGCTTTTTACAATAAGTTATTAAGTTATCTAAACTTTAAGTAACCCGTAAATCTTAAGCCAAAAGAAATTGATCAATCATAATTGATTATTCTTCTTATATTCAATTGTGATTGGTTAATTTCTTACGGCTTAAGATTTACGGGCTTTCTACATTAAGTCATTACCTAAGTTTTAAATCTTAAATTATAAGAAATAAACTAATCACAGTCGAATGTAAGGAGAATAATCGATTACGATTGGTCAATTTCTTACAGCTAATAGTAATGACTTAGTGTAGAAAGCTTATTAAGGATGATTTATAATATATGATTTATAATATTTTTAAAACCGTCACCAAATTTGTCGTATTATTTTTAAACGTAATTTAGAATAATGTAATTTTTTCATAATTTTGTTATCATGAAAAAATTACATTATTCTAAATTACGTTTAAAAATAATACGACAAATTTGGTGACGGTTTACTGTCTGAACCATAAGTTACTTTAATAAATAGTATTTTTTAAATGTGTATTCTAATCAATATATGGAAATGTATTATAAAATAAATGATAAAAATCTCCATTTTTTAAATATATATATATA